CAAGAAAGCTTAAATGTTATTAATTTTGTCAAATACTAGAATAGGGTTTTTTTTTTTCTCTTTTTGTTAAAGGAAAATTACAAATTAAACGATAGTAATTTTCTTTTCCTTTTGTGTTTTACAATATATTTGCCTCATTTGAGAAATCTGAATTTCAGAAACTCTAAAAAACTCTATATTGTTTTAATTGTTGAATAATTGTCGCAAGTTATCCAATAGAGGACATGTTAAGCACAATTTAATACTTTTCTCAGCCATAATCTGAACCAAAGCTTTGGCATGATCTGAAAGCTTAATAGAGTTCCAAAATAAAAATCAGTATATGCATAAGGCTGAGATTATAATAATTATTATTATAATAATCTTTAGCTAATTCATAGTTAAAGATTATTTTAAATAAATGTTCCATTCCAAAGCTATTTCATTTGGTATTTTGTAACTGCGTTTTTATTCTTCCTAAGAAAATATTCGGTATAATCCATAGTTAATTATAAAAATTGGAATGAAGAAGATAAAACATGCATTAAATGATAAAAGATTGAATTAACAGCAAAACAAAAATACTGTAAGGTAAATGCAACAAAGGGTAAATTTAGAAGCTTTCTATAGCTCATGGAGTACAATTTCAAGATTCTCAAATAAGTAATTGTGTATAAATTGTCTTGCACCCAAATTTACAGGTAAAAATAGGGTTTAAATCAGATTGGGGTAGTGGGGATTCCTGGAACAATTCAAGAAGGAGTGCAACTTCTGCAATTATTCTCTGCAAGTATATCAATTTTTTATAAGCTATGCTATTCAATTTCATGTTGCAAAAAACCAATCCAACTTTTTATGCTAAGGAATAGAGGAAATAGCCGGAGAAACTGGAGACTTTAACAGTGTTTGTTAATGTATAAATCTGGGACATTTTAAAATCTTACATTATTCTCCCAAATCAGACTCTTGTTCAAGTTTCCTGCATGAGAAATATAACCAACATAAAACTGTATATACTAACAACAAACTACACTAAAAATAATTAATATTTAATAATATTGATTAAGAGTAAATAAAACAGAGATATAAATAACTATAAATCAATATGTGTGCGATGTTAAGTTAAAATCAATGTCTGACAGCTCTAACAGGGAAAGAAAATCTTAATAAACCTGATTTTTCTACTGACACTACATCATTCCCAGATGAAATAAATTTAACTCATAAAATCTTAATAAACCTGATTTTTCTACTGACACTGATTCTCTATAAGGCCACACTCTACACAGTCTCTAGGGCTCTCACACTCAGATTTGAGATTTTTTTAAAAAAAAAAATCTCGATAAAAATAAAAATAAGAATGGAAGAATTTGACATTTTTTTAAAAAAAATCTTGACAAAAATATAAACAACAAAATGAATAGTTCTATTTTCTTTTTATTTAACATTCACGTAAATGAAAAGAAAAATTCCTGATAAAAATATAAATAAAGAAGAGAATCATTCTTATCTCTTTTTACTTAACTTTTACATAAAAGAAGTAAAGTCATAGAATCAAAATTAACTAGAAGTCTATAATGTTGTTCAATCTCCATCCGCTATGCAAGTTGAAACAAAACTCCAAACAACCAGAACGTCTATAACCTCCAAAGAATTGGAATGTCTTCAACCACCATCCATCGCATTGAAAAGTCTTTTCCTTTTTCATTTTTTCTACTGGCTTTCTTTTTACGTAAAATATTAGGATTTTACATTTTTTTTTTAGTTTTTTAATTATGAGATTGTCTAATGAGAATTCCTTGCTAAATTAAACGGTAGTCCTGTAGAGTAAAATATCCTTATAATCTCATAAACAAGAGTATCTTTTTCTTGCACATATATATATTGTCCTTCATAAGAGGCTAGAGGAGACAAGGGAACACTTCTTTTTCTTTGAATTTTCTGCTTTCAATGATGCCTCATTTTCCAACCTTTTCAGCTCAACAAGTGTTTCAGGAGTTATCATTGAACATTGTCTAACACTAGATCCTGAAATTTTTAGCAAGTGAGCCTATACTCGAGTGTAAGATCCATTGAATAAGAATTCCCAAAAGTAGCACTTGATCTGAAAATTTCCACCTCTAGAAACCTTTCTTAATTTTGTAATATATCTCCATAGAGGGTTTAATTTCATTTTCTTTTTCTGTACTTATCTCTATAATTAAAAAAAAAAAATACATGCTCTATAATTATATTAAAAAAAGTAGAGACATAAAATAAAAGATCATTATAGATTGATTTCATATTTTGTAATTATAAAAAAAAAATAAAAAGAAAGACACAAAAAAATAGAGCATCATATATCAATTTCATGCTATGTAATAATAAATAAAATAAAATAAAGAGAGACATAAAAACATATTGGTTTCATATTTAATAATTAATAAAAAAAATAGTGATATAAAAATAATAGAGCTACAAAAATTGTTTCATACTCTATAATTTGAAAGAAAAAAAGAACAAATAGATGAAAAAGACGTAAAAAAAAAAAAAAGAAAGAAAGAAGAAAGTTATGAAATAAAAAAGAAAGAAAAAGATTAAAACATGTGATGTATAAATGAAAGACAATCATAAAGAAAATGAAAAAGGAGAATACTTTAAAATTCGATGTGATGGGTGGAGGTTGAACAAATTTCGATTCCTTGAAGTTTTGTTAACTTGCATGGTGGATGGAGACAAACATCGTTGTAGACTTTCAGTTAGTTTCGATTCAACATTCTATTGTGTAATGGTTAAGTAAAAAAGAGATGAGGATAATTCTTTTTTTTCTTCTGTTTTATATATTAAGAATTTTTCTTTTACTTTAAATCTTGAATCCTCCCTTCCTTATTTGTGTTTTTATTAAGCTTATTTCTTTTATGTTAGGTGAAGTTAAGCAAAGAGAGACGGGAATGATTTCCTCCCTTGTTTATTTTTTTATGTTTACTGACAGCATACATACATCAAAAGTTAGAACAAATGCACACGTTTGTATATATATACATATTCTAATATCTCATAGTCCGGAAATATATAATTGAAATCAAGAAGAAATAAAAAATAATGTAAGCTACATACAAGAAGTGGCAAGCAAGAAGACGATCAAAGGAGCAAGCCTAACATGAGCAATTCTTTAATTTTAGTATTTCCAAAGAACGAACTACAAATGTGTTGTGCAGTTGTTCCTTCTTGCATGTACCAATTTATAAACACAGTTCAGAGTTTAGGGGTGTATTTAAATTAAGATTTTCTTTAAAAGTTTTTTTAATCAAGATTTTGTAATATAAATTTTAATAATCTGTATTTTAAGAATTTATAAGAAGATATTTTGATTCTTAAAAATATTTTGATTATCTTATTTAAATATCATTAAATTTTGATATACTTTTAAAAATTATAATTATTTTAATTAAATATAACATGAATTTTTTTATTAAAAAGATTTTACTTATACAATACGAGACTTTTTATAATAAAAAAATGATTTAAAATTTTAAAAAATTTCAATCTAATTAAATGTTTTCAAAATCTGGTCCATCATCGAGCATTATCTGCAAGCCACGGAAATTTTTAACCTGCAATTATATATAATTTTATTACATGTTTTTGTTGGTGAAAAATCCCCTGGAACGCCACAAATCCTAACATAAAACATGGCATTGAAGATTAATTAGAGTATACATTAAAGAATTTTACCTTTAATATAACAGTTAAATGAATAAAATTTAATATAAAATATGAATTTTATTATGAATTTTATTTTTGTTAGGTTTGATTACTCTGTCCCTTAATTTCATGTAGCTTTTACATATTAGGATATAAATAAGGTTCAAATAAAATAAGAAAAAAAATAATTTATAAAGTGTACATACACCAATAATTAAAAAATCTTTTTTTGAATGATAATTAAAAATAAAATTGTAAGAACTTATATTTAAAATGGATAATATTTCATTATTGTAGAGTTATGTATAAAATTACCTTATAAAAATAATAAAGTCACAACTCTCTTCTTCTAAATAAATATAAATATCTCTTTAAACAAATATAATAAAATAATCTCAATATTATATTGCACATTCTAACATATTAGTTTTTATGATTTTAATTAAACCTTCACAAATGTATTGATGTATTGTCTTTGAATATAACAAATGATCTTAGTTTTTTTTTTTTTTTAATGATGTTTTCATCTTGTGCCTGCACACACACACACACAAAAAAAAAAAGAAGATGTAAATGAATCAAATAAACTTATATTATTATTAAAATAATTTTTAACAAACAAAACAGTATCATTATTTTAAAGTAAACATTTTATATGAGAATAACATCAATCATTTTATACGTTAGCATATTTTATATTTGTATGTGCAAATATATATTCATTGTCATCTTGTGCCGGCAGAAAAAAAATATATGATGTAAATGAATCAAACAAACTTATATTATTATTAAAAAAAAAATTTATAAACAAAACAATATCATTATTTTATAAGTAAACATTTTATATGACAATAATACGTTAGCATATTTTATATTTGTATCTGCACATATATATTCATTGTCATCTTGTAGAAAGTTTTACCGAATGTTTAGGCGTTGTTTCTAGGAAGTTTCCCATTTTGCATTTTCAGCATTTAAGAAATATCAATTCAACTTCAGGGTTACAATTATTGAAATCGATTTCGAAGACTTGCACTTATTCTATAGTGAAGGACAATATATCATACTCATGGTGATGTGAAATATTATTGCCGTTGACGCGTTCTTCTTCAATTTCATTCCAACATACGCGCACTTTTTGTTTTTTTTTTAATTAGTTTTTTCAAAGATAAAATATTAATTACAGTTGACAGGAACAAGAGAAACTGAGAAGAAAATGCGTTACAGTATCTCAAAAGATATAGTTTCTTGGCTCAGCAAGAATTTCGAGTCAACTTCATTGAGAAGTTACAACAACAATTTATTAATCAATATTTATATTAACATATGGTTCCGCGCAATGACTCTTGTTCTCCTTAAAACACGTCTTCCAGTAATTTACATAAACTTTCTACGCATTTTGTCATTTATTATAAAAATATTAGTCCTCCCACAACTACCTTGAGTCTACTATTCATTACATTACACTTTTATCTTCAGCAAGTGAGTTTTCAAATTTCAAATTCTGCAATGGCTTGCATAACCAGCAATAGCGGTTCTTCATCACGCACAATGAATTTTGATGTTTTTGTGAGCTTTAGAGGTGAGGATACTCGTAATAATTTCACTGATCATCTTTTTGCTGCTCTTCGAAGGAAAGGTGTTGTTGCCTTCAGAGATAACCAAAATATCAATAAAGGGCAACTCTTGGAACCTGAGCTCATGCAAGCAATCAAACGATCACGTCTTTTCATTGTTGTCTTCTCAAAGAATTATGCATCATCCTCATGGTGCTTGAAAGAGTTGACAATGATTTTTGATTGGGTTAAAGAAACAGGTCAAAGTGTTCTTCCTATATTCTATGATGTCACTCCTTCTGAGGTCCGAAAACAAAGTGGAGAGTTCCAAAAAGCTTTTGCCCAATACGAAATAACCTTCCGAGATGATTTGGAAATGGTAAAAAAATGGAGGGAAGCTATGAAGGCAATTGCCAACCGTTCTGGGTGGGATCTACTGAATAAGTAAGTGCTTGGCCATATTTTTTGTATTATATATACAATTTTATTTTTAAAAGTCTCAACCTTAGTGATGCATCAATGTTTATGCTCCACTTTGGTTTTCAGGCTTCAACATGAGGAAATAGAAAAAATTGTTGAAGAGGTAATCAACTTATTGGGTCATAATCAAATTTTGAATTTTGGAGATGATTTAGTTGATATGCACTCTCGTGTAAAACAATTAGAGGAACTTGTAGATCCAGATGCAAATGAAGTTGTTCGAGTAATAGGAATAAGTGGGATGGGTGGAATAGGAAAGACAACACTTGCTACTGCTTTATTTGATAAAATCTCTCATCAATATGATGCTTGTTGTTTCATTGATGATGTAAGAAAAATTTATGGGGAGTTTGGACCCATGGTTGCACAAAAACAACTTCTTTGTCAAGCTCTAAATCAAGGTAATGTTGAGATAAACAATCTTTACCAAGGAACCTTGTTGGTAAGAACTAGGTTATGCCACTTAAAGGTGCTTATTGTTCTAGATAATGTTGATCAAGATGAACAATTGGAAAAATTGGCTTTGCATCCTAAATATCTAGGTGTAGGGAGTAGAATCCTCATAATCTCTAGAGATAGTCATATCTTAAGAAATTATGGAGTGAATGAAGTTTACAATGTTCAATTGTTGAATGCAAATAAAGCTCTTCAATTATTTTGTAGAAAAGCTTTCAAATCTGATAATATTTTGAATGATTATAAAGAGTTGACCTATGATGTACTAAAATATGTCGATGGCCTTCCTTTAGCAGTTAAAGTGTTAGGCTCATTTTTGTTTGATCGAGATGTTTATGAGTGGAGAAGTGCATTGGCTAGACTTAAAAAATATCCAAACAAAGATATTATGGAGGTGTTACGAATAAGTTTTGATGGATTGAAGGAAATGGAAAAGGAAATATTTTTAGATATTGCTTGTTTCTTTTGTGATACATTCCATCAACAAGGTAAGGGAAGAGTAAAAAAACTTCTAAACTATCGTGGATTTTTTCCCAATATTGGCATGAAAGTTCTCATTGAGAAATCACTAATAACTTGTAATAATTGGGATGTTAAAATGCACGACTTGTTGAAAGAGTTGGGCAGAAGTATTGTTCGAGAAAAATCACCTAATGAACCAATAAAGTGGAGTAGGCTATGGGACTTCAAGGATCTCCAAAATATCATGATAAAAAATGAGGTAAAATAATTTTTCAATATAAAATCTTATGTTGCCATTTTTTCAAAATCTATAAATTATTAAGAAATCTACATTTTCATTCTTTTTGCTATGCTTTAGGAAGCCGAAAATCTTGAAGCCATGGTTATTTATTATGGACAGCATTTGGACGACAAAACAATGGCAGGGAATGTTATATCAAAAATGAAGCATCTCAAGTTGCTCATACTTCAGAATGTGAATTTTTTGGGAAGTCTCAACTATCTTTCTAACGAATTAAGATATCTATCTTGGCATAGATATCCTTTCATTTGTTTGCCATCAAATTTTCATCCGGATAATCTAGTAGAGTTGATCTTGTGTCATAGCAATCTCAAACAATTATGGAAAGGCACAAAGGTAATATATTATTAGTTTTCAATTTTATTTATCTTTAAACAAACAGAAAAATATTATATATATATATATATAGAGGTTATATCAAGTGAGAGGAAATTTTTTAACCCTTAGATTAATCAAGTGAGAGAAAATTTGGGGTTTAATAAGAGGAAATTAATCTAAGGATTATATTTTAACCCTCTCATCTCTCATAATAAATTCCCTCTCACTTGATATGCTTTCATATATAGAACATATCAAGTGAGAGGGAATTTATTATGAGAGATGAGAGGGTTAAAATATAATCCTTAGATTAATTTCCTCTCACTTAATTAAACTCCAAATTTTCTCTCACTTAATTAATTAATTTAAGGGTTATATTTTAACATTCTTATCTCTCATAATAAATTTTCTCTCACTTGATATGCTCTATATATAGGAGCATATCAAGTGAGAGAGAATTTATTATAAGAGATGAGAGGGTTAAAATATAACCCTTAGATTAATTTCCTCTCACTTGATTAAACCCCAAATTTTCTCTCACTTGATTAATCTAAGGGTTATATTTTAACCCTCTCATCTCTCATAATAAGTTTCCTCTTACTTGATATGCTCTCTCTCTCTCTATATATATATATATAACATAATTAAAGAATCATAAGCAAACTTAAATGTCATTGATTTTTTCTCCTACTATCCAAAACAAGAAAGGGATTATCGTTTTTTCTTTCTATTTGTCAAAGAAATGAAAAATTAAATGATGGATAGTAACTTTCATTCTTTTGTTTCTTTTACAGCATTTGCCTAATTTGATATGTCTAGATCTTAGCTACTCCAAAAGTCTTATTGAGGTGCCAGACTTAACGGGAGTTCCTCGTCTTAGGGATCTTATTCTTGAAGGATGTATAAATATTACGCGGATCCACCCATCCATTGGTATTCTGAGAGAACTTTTTTATCTAAATTTGACAAATTGTAAAAATCTTTTCCACAATTTGAATATGTTTTTCGGACTCAAATCTCTTAAGATGCTAATTCTCTCAGGCTGCTCAAAATTACTCAATAATCGTCTTCTAAAGAAACCAAGGGAGGTAGAACATTTGGAGAACGTTGATAAAAATACAAGTGTTATCCAATTATCAACATCCTCTCTATATGAAATTCTAATGTTGCCTTTGTATTTCCTTTCCTCTCACAAACATGGAGATTCACTTGATTTATTGTTGCCATATTTGTCTCGTTTCCCATGTTTGCAACATCTTGATCTAAGCTTCTGCAATCTACTTCAAATTCCCGATGCTATTGGGAGCTTACAGTCTTTAGAAAGCTTAAATTTGGGGGGAAACAAATTCGTTATACTACCGACTGCCAGCAAGGAGCTTTCCAATCTTCAATGTTTAAATTTGCAGCACTGCAAACAGCTGAAATATTTGCCTGAGCTTCCAACAACCAAACAATACGACTTTGGGCAGTTATATATTTTTAATTGCCCCAATTTGAGTGAAATGGGACATTGTTATCATATGGTTTTTTCTTGGATGATACAAATATTTAAGGTAACGACTCCATCCTTCTTTTCCTTCTTTTCTTTATCTTACTTTTTCTATGTATACAATTTTTAAGTAGTTATACATATTAATGATTAATTATTATTTTATTTTTTGCATCAGGCTTTCTTGCAATCCTCCCTTTCCTTGCAAAGGCTCCGGATTGTTATTCCTGGAACTGAAATTCCAAGGTGGTTTAGTAAACAAAATGTGGGTAGGTCAATAAGCATGGAGTTGTCTCCTGTTATGGAAGACCCAAATTGGATGGGTGTCGCCTGTTGTTCTTTGTTAGTGGCACATGATGATCCTACTAATTTGAATGATAATTTTCATAGTATTGATTACAAATTTGAAAATATAAATTGGATGCTTCCAATATTTTTAAACAATGATCTGGTCATGGGTGAAATGGATCACTTGTTCATGATTTTTGTCTCTCGGGAAATAATCAGTTGTGATCGATGTCGACATGAAGACAAAATGAATTATATTGATAAAATGGTATTCAAAACTACCATATTTGGCCACCCTAAAGGTTTGCATTTGGTGGTGAAAAATTGCGGATATCGTTTGGTATTTAAGGAAGATCTTCAACAATTAAACTTAAACATGATGTTCAGTAGAAATTCCTCATCTAGGAAGCTTTTATCAAGTAATTTGCCACACATCATTCATTGAACTTATTCACAGAAAACGTAAAAATTTCTTTTCAACCACAATTACATCAAAGAAATTCTTACCCATTACAGGTAAGATTTAAGCAGTAAAGCACAACTTTTATTACAAGTTTATAGTCATTTATAAATACTTTGCTTTTAGTATCTTATATTGTGATATGATGATGTTTATTTATTTATCTTTCCAGAGTAAATGTTACTTGAAAACATTGTTAAAAGTGATAGTAAGCATATTTGGTCATGGATTGTTATGAAAACTTTCATCAATAGCCAATTGGCAAGATTTCAAGAAAAATAACGTGCATTATTAATTTTGATATAACTACCTTGGAGGAGAAGTTTTTTAACAACGATCCATTTTTTTGACTTGAAGTAAATGTGGATGTCTATCTCGTTTCTTCAATTTACCAAAGTGAATTATTAGATATTCTATTTACAATGTTTAGGAAAAAATGTAAAACGTTGTGTAAAACAAAAAACCAGATAATATCAGGCATGATGTAAGATACTTGATATTATGGTTCATAGTTAAGATGGCTATTAACTGATTTACAAAATTTGTATTTATATTAAATGAGTAAGTGTCTTGAAATGGTACATGTTTACCGCAGTCAGCTTCTTGAACAAAATGTTTGGTGGATGGAGGGCGTGTAACTCTTACTCTTAATTTTTGTCTCAAACCAAAAGAATATCATAGAAACCCACAATTTCGTCTCCATCAACATGGAGTTAACACTTATCATGACATGGGAACATCTACTTAGACTTGAAAACATCCTCTGTTTCCACTAATTGGCAACAAGGTAACTAATCAGTAGGCAATGACAACTTAAGAAAGCTTGATGAAGAACATGAATAAGAGACCTAGAATAAATTGAACTATAGAACTTTCAAAAGTAGTGTTATGATGAAATAAATAAATAAATAAGACTTAAAGTTGTAGAGAAATTGAAGGACCAATGCTGAGTGTCTTAAAAACTTATATGGGAAGGCTTTCCTGTTTCCAGGGCCTGAACTACCAGTGCCACGAATCTCCACTTTGGAGAAAAATGAGCTGAATGATTGAAGGCTGGTTCAGTAAGTGACTGTGCATTTGGAACTGAATTAATGGACATTACAGCAAAAACAATTCCATGATTGTTGCTTGCTCTTTAACTGATTAACATGTTCCCTTTTTGGCAGAACTTATTTCACCTATTGGATTGTAGTCAGTTATAGTTGCTCTTCGGGATGGATTCAAAGGTAATGGTTCAAAAATGAGAAGTTGTACTGCTTCAAAAAAAGGTGCTTCATTAGTCACTGTTGACATGGATTGTTAATAAGTATTGATTTTTTTTTACCCAATACTCTCTCTTGTCCCTTTAATGTGAATCAAACTGGAAGTGAATTCCACTTTGTTGGAACATAAGGTAAAGAACAATATATAATGTATTTTAAAGAGATTAGAATTATGTAAAAAAGGAAACATTACGTTGAATTATTGCATTTGGTAATTATGAAATTGTTGAAATAAGAAATTTGTATAGATTAGAAAAGTTGATGTTTGTAAAATAAAATAGTAAAAGATTTAAAGTGAAGTAGTACATGTGTGTTTTCACTCATTGTAGACTCCACTCTGAGGCATCACTCTGGCGTACACACAAGGCTAGCACTGTCAAACAATTAAAGGTACCATATCAAATTTTTTTCAATTTCCTTTGTCTTTAGATGAACAAATTAAAAGATAAATTAACTTAATTGTACAAATACTAGAATAGGGTTTTTTTTTCTTTCTCTTTTTGTTAAAGAAAAATTACAAATTAAACGATAGTAATTTTCTTTTCCTTTTGTGTTTTACAATATTTGCAATCTGAATTTCAGAAACTCCAAAAAACTCTATATTGTTTTAATTGTTGAATAATTGTCACAAGTTATCCAATAGAGGACATGTTAAGTACAATTTAATACTTTTCTCAGCCATAATCTGAAGCAAAGCTTTGGCATGATCTAAAAGCTTAATAGAGTTCCAAAATAAAAATCAGTATATGCAGAAGGCTGAGATTATAATAATTATTATTATAATAATTTTTAGCTAATTCATAGTTAAAGATTATTTTAAATAAATGTTCCATTCCAAAGCTATTTCATTTGGTATTTTGTAACTGCGTTTTTATTCTTCCTAAGAAAATATTCGGTATAATCCATAGTTAATTATAAAAATTGGAATGAAGATGATAAAACATGCATTGAATGATAAAAGATTGAATTAACAGCAAAACAAAAATACTATAAGGTAAATGCAACAAAGGGTAAGTGTTGAAGCTTTCTATAGCTCATGGAGTACAATTTCAAGATTCTCAAATAAGTAATTGTGTATAAATTGTCTTGCACCCAAATTTACAGGTAAAACTAGGGTTTAAATCAGATTGGGGGAGTGAGGATTCCTGGAACAATAAACTATGCTATTCAATTTTTTATAAGCTATGCTATTCAATTTCATGTTACAAAAAACCAATACAACTTTTTAAGCTAAGGAATAGAGGAAATAGCCGGAGAAACTGGAGACTTTAACAGTGTTTATTAATGTATAAATCTGGATGATTTTAAAACCTTGCATTATTCTCCAAAATCAGACTCTTGTTCAAGTTTCCTGCATGAGAAATATAACCAACATAAAACTGTATATACTAACAACAAACTACACTAAAAATAATTAATATTTAATAATTGATTAAGAGTCAATAAAACAGAGATATAAATAACTATAAATCAGTATGTGTGCGATGTTAAGTTAAAACCAATGTCTGATAGTTCTTACAGGGAAGGAAAACAAAAATTAAAAAATTTGTAAATTCAACTCATTCCCTCCCACGACAATTACTTTACCCCGCCCTATGCCTAACACTAACATCATGGATTCAACAAATGAAGCCAAGTTAAAAAGTCACAGCAAAATAAACCTCACAGTTGGTTTAGATGAAAGAAGTTATCTACCAACCCACACTTTCTCTCTTTTAATTACTCTTTTAATCACAGGTGAAACTGAGATCCTGGAAAGACTTAATAATGCCACACAACAATTGTAATGGTACTTAATTATCAGAAAAATCCTGTAATCAAGCACATATAAGCCTTTATTTAATCCTATTACTCACTAAGTCAGGTACTCAATTACTTTGACGCTTGGGCTAAATCATTTCCCTTGCTCATGGGGGTATTATTATATATATACGGCCTCCTTGCCAGATGAAATAAATTTAACTCATAAAATCCTAATAAACCTGATTTTTCTACTGACACTGATTCTCTATAAGGCCACACTCTACACAGACTCTAGGACTCTCACACCTTCAGAAATTCTGCTCCATCATCCTTCAATAAAGTCATAAATAAGAAACACGTGAAAACTTGAACAGCATAAAACATTACTGGGACAACAGGGCTCTATGATTACAAGGAAATTTTTAGAAAGTATAAAAACTGAGAATGAAATAAAATGAATAGAAGGAAAACTTCTCTACCTTTCCAAAACTACTGAAATGATTTGCCTACCTCTCTCATTCCGTCCCTCTCCTTTTATATCTCATGCAGAACCTAACTTTACCACAATGCTTCCCACACTTGTTGTCAAGTATGCTAGCTTAAGTATTGTCGTATAGGATTGCCTAACAAATAATTTAGAACAATAACAAGCAACACGTGTCTCCATTGTTAGACCAATGGCTCTACGTATATATATTTTAAGTTCTTAATCTCTCAAATTTTAGTAACAAGAAAGACAATAACTAATACATGGCCTAGTGTTATTAAGACTCAAATAGCACAAAAGAAGCTAGAATTAACAGTTCATTATTTCCTTTTCTCTATTCCTTAAACAATGGTCAACTATTTGTTTTACTTTAATACATGGCCTATGTTGCATGGACATGGCTTGAAATTGTTGTGTCCTACTAAGTGTGTAAAAATGCAAGTTTTTCAACTCTTAATTCACACTTAACATGTTTTGATCGAGTAAAGTTTTGAGAAATTTTCTTCATATTTTGCAAAAAACTTAAAAGAGCATCATGATTATGTGTTTGACAAATTTGATGTTGATTGGGTAAATTTTGTGTTACAGAATATAATGTGAACAACAATTTACTGTTAGTTAGTTTTTTTTTTTTTTTTTCAAGGGGAGATTGGAGAAGGTTCAAGTTTGGAATTTATTCCTGACCAGCATAAGGCCTTATTGGCACTTCTTCAACAACCTGGAATTCAGAACAATCACACCATTAATCAATTTACCTCCACTGCACAAGATCTTGGTTCAAAACCATCAGGTATTGTTTGTAATATTTTCAATTCTTTGAATTCCAACTCTTGGATCATTGATACAGGAGCTACCGATCATGTGTGTAATTCAATTACTCAATTTCAAACATACAGAAAAATTAAAACCATTCATATAAAACTACCTGATGGAAGTGAAGTTACTACATCTATATCTAGAACTGTTTTCTTTTCCAAAGACTTTTACCTCACAGATGTCCTTTTCTTTCCCAATTTCAAACTCAATTTGGTTTCAGTATCCAAGATAACTAAAGCATTATCATGCAAATTCATTTTCTCTAATTTTATTTGTCAAATTCAGGAAAACAATTCTTTGAGGATGATTGTGCAGCTAACTTGCAAAATGGTCTATATACAATGAATCCGTCAATGCAACCAGAGATTTTTGAGAAAAGTGTAAACAATTTTTACAGTCACAATAATGATGTATGGCATTTGAGACTAGGTCATCCCTCTCATGAGAAACTCAGAAATATACAAACTATGTACCCTTTTGTGAAATTTAATAAAGACAAAGTTCCTTGTGAAGTGTGTCATTTAGCTAAACAAAAAAGGCTTCCTTTTGCTTACAGTAGTAATACTTGTGACGATGTCATTGATTTGATACATATAGATATTTGGGGTCCTTTATCCATTCCTTCAATTTTTGGTCATAAGTATTTTTTAACCATAGTAGAAAATAATGCTAGACATACTTGGATTTACTTTATGAAACAAAAAAGTGAAACAGCCTCTTTGATTCAAGCTTTTGTTGCTCAAACTCAAACTCAATTCAATAAAAAAATTAAAATAATCAGAACTGATAACGGCAGGGAATTTAACATGCATGAATGGTTTAAAGATAAAGGCATTTTGCACCAAACCTCATGCGTTAAGACACCTCAACAAAATGGCATTGTGGAAAGAAAGCACCAACATATTTTAGGTATTGCTAGAGCTCTTATATTTCAGTCTGGCATACCTAAATCTTTTTGGAATCATGCTGTTAATCAAAATAGGGTTTAAATCAGATTGGGGTAGTGGGGATTCCTGGAACAATTCAAGAAGGAGTGCAACTTCTGCAATTATTCTCTGCAAGTATATCAATTTTTTATAAGCTATGCTATTCAATTTCATGTTGCAAAAAACCAATCCAACTTTTTATGCTAAGGAATAGAGGAAATAGCCAGGAGTGCAACTTCTGCAATTATTCTCTGCAAGTATATCAATTTTTTATAAGCTATGCTATTCAATTTCATGTTGCAAAAAACCAATCCAACTTTTTATGCTAAGGAATAGAGGAAATAGCCGGAGAAACTGGAGACTTTAACAGTGTTTGTTAATGTATAAATCTGGGACATTTTAAAATCTTACATTATTCTCCCAAATCAGACTCTTGTTCAAGTTTCCTGCATGAGAAATATAACCAACATAAAACTGTATATACTAACAACAAACTACACTAAAAATAATTAATATTTAATAATATTGATTAAGAGTAAATAAAACAGAGATATAAATAACTATAAATCAATATGTGTGCGATGTTAAGTTAAAATCAATGTCTGACAGCTCTAACAGGGAAAGAAAATCTTAATAAACCTGATTTTTCTACTGACACTACATCATTCCCAGATGAAATAAATTTAACTCATAAAATCTTAATAAACCTGATTTTTCTACTGACACTGATTCTCTATAAGGCCACACTCTACACAGTCTCTAGGGCTCTCACACTCAGATTTGAGATTTTTTTAAAAAAAAAAATCTCGATAAAAATAAAAATAAGAATGGAAGAATTTGACATTTTTTTAAAAAAAATCTTGACAAAAATATAAACAACAAAATGAATAGTTCTATTTTCTTTTTATTTAACATTCACGTAAATGAAAAGAAAAATTCCTGATAAAAATATAAATAAAGAAGAGAATCATTCTTATCTCTTTTTACTTAACTTTTACATAAAAGAAGTAAAGTCATAGAATCAAAATTAACTAGAAGTCTATAATGTTGTTCAATCTCCATCCGCTATGCAAGTTGAAACAAAACTCCAAACAACCAGAACGTCTATAACCTCCAAAGAATTGGAATGTCTTCAACCACCATCCATCGCATTGAAAAGTCTTTTCCTTTTTCATTTTTTCTACTGGCTTTCTTTTTACGTAAAATATTAGGATTTTACATTTTTTTTTTAGTTTTTTAATTATGAGATTGTCTAATGAGAATTCCTTGCTAAATTAAACGGTAGTCCTGTAGAGTAAAATATCCTTATAATCTCATAAACAAGAGTATCTTTTTCTTGCACATATATATATTGTCCTTCATAAGAGGCTAGAGGAGACAAGGGAACACTTCTTTTTCTTTGAATTTTCTGCTTTCAATGATGCCTCATTTTCCAACCTTTTCAGCTCAACAAGTGTTTCAGGAGTTATCATTGAACATTGTCTAACACTAGATCCTGAAATTTTTAGCAAGTGAGCCTATACTCGAGTGTAAGATCCATTGAATAAGAATTCCCAAAAGTAGCACTTGATCTGAAAATTTCCACCTCTAGAAACCTTTCTTAATTTTGTAATATATCTCCATAGAGGGTTTAATTTCATTTTCTTTTTCTGTACTTATCTCTATAATTAAAAAAAAAAAATACATGCTCTATAATTATATTAAAAAAAGTAGAGACATAAAATAAAAGATCATTATAGATTGATTTCATATTTTGTAATTATAAAAAAAAAATAAAAAGAAAGACACAAAAAAATAGAGCATCATATATCAATTTCATGCTATGTAATAATAAATAAAATAAAATAAAGAGAGACATAAAAACATATTGGTTTCATATTTAATAATTAATAAAAAAAATAGTGATATAAAAATAATAGAGCTACAAAAATTGTTTCATACTCTATAATTTGAAAGAAAAAAAGAACAAATAGATGAAAAAGACGTAAAAAAAAAAAAAAGAAAGAAAGAAGAAAGTTATGAAATAAAAAAGAAAGAAAAAGATTAAAACATGTGATGTATAAATGAAAGACAATCATAAAGAAAATGAAAAAGGAGAATACTTTAAAATTCGATGTGATGGGTGGAGGTTGAACAAATTTCGATTCCTTGAAGTTTTGTTAACTTGCATGGTGGATGGAGACAAACATCGTTGTAGACTTTCAGTTAGTTTCGATTCAACATTCTATTGTGTAATGGTTAAGTAAAAAAGAGATGAGGATAATTCTTTTTTTTCTTCTGTTTTATATATTAAGAATTTTTCTTTTACTTTAAATCTTGAATCCTCCCTTCCTTATTTGTGTTTTTATTAAGCTTATTTCTTTTATGTTAGGTGAAGTTAAGCAAAGAGAGACGGGAATGATTTCCTCCCTTGTTTATTTTTTTATGTTTACTGACAGCATACATACATCAAAAGTTAGAACAAATGCACACGTTTGTATATATATACATATTCTAATATCTCATAGTCCGGAAATATATAATTGAAATCAAGAAGAAATAAAAAATAATGTAAGCTACATACAAGAAGTGGCAAGCAAGAAGACGATCAAAGGAGCAAGCCTAACATGAGCAATTCTTTAATTTTAGTATTTCCAAAGAACGAACTACAAATGTGTTGTGCAGTTGTTCCTTCTTGCATGTACCAATTTATAAACACAGTTCAGAGTTTAGGGGTGTATTTAAATTAAGATTTTCTTTAAAAGTTTTTTTAATCAAGATTTTGTAATATAAATTTTAATAATCTGTATTTTAAGAATTTATAAGAAGATATTTTGATTCTTAAAAATATTTTGATTATCTTATTTAAATATCATTAAATTTTGATATACTTTTAAAAATTATAATTATTTTAATTAAATATAACATGAATTTTTTTATTAAAAAGATTTTACTTATACAATACGAGACTTTTTATAATAAAAAAATGATTTAAAATTTTAAAAAATTTCAATCTAATTAAATGTTTTCAAAATCTGGTCCATCATCGAGCATTATCTGCAAGCCACGGAAATTTTTAACCTGCAATTATATATAATTTTATTACATGTTTTTGTTGGTGAAAAATCCCCTGGAACGCCACAAATCCTAACATAAAACATGGCATTGAAGATTAATTAGAGTATACATTAAAGAATTTTACCTTTAATATAACAGTTAAATGAATAAAATTTAATATAAAATATGAATTTTATTATGAATTTTATTTTTGTTAGGTTTGATTACTCTGTCCCTTAATTTCATGTAGCTTTTACATATTAGGATATAAATAAGGTTCAAATAAAATAAGAAAAAAAATAATTTATAAAGTGTACATACACCAATAATTAAAAAATCTTTTTTTGAATGATAATTAAAAATAAAATTGTAAGAACTTATATTTAAAATGGATAATATTTCATTATTGTAGAGTTATGTATAAAATTACCTTATAAAAATAATAAAGTCACAACTCTCTTCTTCTAAATAAATATAAATATCTCTTTAAACAAATATAATAAAATAATCTCAATATTATATTGCACATTCTAACATATTAGTTTTTATGATTTTAATTAAACCTTCACAAATGTATTGATGTATTGTCTTTGAATATAACAAATGATCTTAGTTTTTTTTTTTTTTTAATGATGTTTTCATCTTGTGCCTGCACACACACACACACAAAAAAAAAAAGAAGATGTAAATGAATCAAATAAACTTATATTATTATTAAAATAATTTTTAACAAACAAAACAGTATCATTATTTTAAAGTAAACATTTTATATGAGAATAACATCAATCATTTTATACGTTAGCATATTTTATATTTGTATGTGCAAATATATATTCATTGTCATCTTGTGCCGGCAGAAAAAAAATATATGATGTAAATGAATCAAACAAACTTATATTATTATTAAAAAAAAAATTTATAAACAAAACAATATCATTATTTTATAAGTAAACATTTTATATGACAATAATACGTTAGCATATTTTATATTTGTATCTGCACATATATATTCATTGTCATCTTGTAGAAAGTTTTACCGAATGTTTAGGCGTTGTTTCTAGGAAGTTTCCCATTTTGCATTTTCAACATTTAAGAAATATCGATTCAACTTCAGGGTTACAATTATTGAAATCGATTTCAAAGACTTGCATTATTCTATGGTGTATGCATATCTATAATATAGGTCGTGGAACAGGCATGGTTAGAAGTTACCATGAAGGTGAAGGACAATATATGGTTCCAGTGATTAACATAAACTTTCTACGCATTTTGTCATTTATTATAGTAATTCTTCATCACGCACAATGAATTTTGATGTTTTTGTGAGCTTTAGAGGTGAGGATACTCGTAATAACTTCACTGATCATCTTTTTGCTGCTCTTCGAAGGAAAGGTGTTGTTGCCTTCAGAGATAACCAAAATATCAATAAAGGGCAACTCTTGGAACCTGAGCTCATGCAAGCAATCAAACGATCACGTCTTTTCATTGTTGTCTTCTCAAAGAATTATGCATCATCCTCATGGTGCTTGAAAGAGTTGACAATGATTTTTGATTGGGTTAAAGAAACAGGTCAAAGTGTTCTTCCTATTTTCTATGATGTCACTCCTTCAAAGATGATTTGGAAATGGTAAAAAAATGGAGGGAAGCTATGAAGGCAATTGCCAACCGTTCTGGGTGGGATGTACTGAATAAGTAAGTGCTTGGCCATATTTTTTGTATTATATATACAGTTTTTTT